GTTCTATATATGAGGACAGATCTCAATTTACAAACTACTACTGCACCTACTACGTTCATGTAGACTTTATAGAGCTACAAACTTTTCAAGGAGCTGAATCAAGGTGAATATCAATTAACATTCTGCTGAAGAGTCCATATTACACTATTTTCTGGTCTACGTTATAATGTTTCTTCATCACAAACGTGTCTGGGGTTGTGTTTTGTTTCATTCACACACGTTCAACACACAAATCCTGCATATTTACACTGAGTTCTTCTCTCAGTCATGAAACACTGCTCCACTGTATTTTTAAGAGGCATACATCTTCACTAGAATAATGTGGAACAAATGAACAAATTAATTTGGAGCTACTGAACAATGGGCAGCTGTTAACTTGAAAACTACTACTTGATGACATCACAAGGTGGAGCAAAGCCTTCTGAGCTCTGGAGATGTAATAATAAAGGGTTGCTGAAACATGAAATACAACTCTGGGTATGTTTTTGATGAGGTAACAACATTCTAATTTGACTTAAAGCGCACAAGAGTCAATTTTGTGTAATATACGACTTTTAAAAGTACATACAAGTACTATAATTAGGCCTATTAATGACTATTGTGTTCAGATAATTATTTCGTGTCCCAAAATAATGTTGAAAAATCATCTTTGTATTTAAAAATGTGAGTTGAGTCGCCACTCCACAGATGTAACTTGGCCCGGTGGTATCACCTGCTTGTCTGTTTCAGTATCGTGGAAATTCCAGGCAAAGCAACAACATCCCTATAAACACGAGCAGTTGGTGAGCACCCTCCATCAGAAAAGTTACATAATGCACCTTTAACATACCACCAACCTTCAGATCAGAAGAGAAACACTGAATCACTCTGCCACCCACTACGACTACTACTACTACTACCACAATTACTATTACTTTTACTCCTACTACTACATTGAGTCAAATGCTCTTCCTGGAATTTGTTACTTGGCATTGTTGACTATTTGTATCTTCTGTATTTTTAGAGTTGGCAGTGAATAAGTCATTACTTTGAATCTCTGACCTTGCCTGAATCTCTTTGTTAGCTGACAAAAGTATAATGTAAACTTGCAAGCATGGATAAACATATTGTTCAGAGGTGAATTATTAAAAAAAATGCATTCCAACTTGGGACGTCCTCAAAATGTTACCAGAAACAAAAGAAACACAATTGCAGGTCTCACAGTGTACAGCATGTCCTCTTGATATCAAAGCAGACGTTTACACCTCTGGCTCAATGTCGCACACTGGGGTCACACACTCTTTTGTTCTTATCTGCGCCTCCTCTGTTGTCCTGCACTAAAATAGCTTTGATAGCACTGACACATTCGCTAACAAAAGACTCTGGCATTGATACTACCGTGTGTGTGCGCACATGTAGGGCTGGGTATTTATCACACTGTGGGGTCTGAAGTCTGTACACACACTCTTCATGGAGACCTGCTTCTTATGGGGAAAGAACCAATGTCCCTGTGATGCAAATTCTTTTAATCACTATTATTAGATCAACAACATGGTTTAAAGTTCAGTATGGGTTAAAATCGATACACCATGTAACTTTCCAGGAGTGTCCGCTACATAATTATGTCCATGGAGATGTTATTACTTGGCCTGAAATGTTTCACACTAACTTTTTCATATCATCATGGAGACAAGCAGTTGATGCCACCAGATAAAGATACAGATCAGATCTGTGAAGAGGGGACCTCACTCATGGTAAGAATGCATGTTGTTAAAAGTATTTTCAAGCAATAAAAACACTGTAGTTAAATAAACAACTCATAAGTTCAATGTCATATTGTGGAATATTTCAGACAATAAATATTATCTCAATGGAGACAACAGGTGGAAACACCTCTACCAGCAAAATTACATAGTGCATCGTTAGGTTATGGTTTAGGGTGGACAAGTAGTGACTATGGTTAAGGTTAGGATTAGTCTCCAGAAAATTAATTTAAAGATATTTCATATTACACTATTTTCTGATTTGTTTGATGTTATTTCCTCATCAAAAATGTACAAGTTGTGTTTTGGTTGATTCACATGTTAAGCACACACAAAACTACATATTTAGGATGTGTTCTTCTCTCAAACAGAAAACACTGTTGCACCTTGTGATGTCATGTGGTGATAGTAGGACTGTGTTTTAAACTCAATACACCTTCACTAGAATCATTTGGATAATTTCAGCCCTAAAATAGCCAATCTCTAGTGAAGAAAAGGTAAAAAGTAGCTGTTAACAACCACCACATGACATCATAAGGTAGATAGGTTTAGAGCTCTAGAGATGTTGACAGACATTAGAGATTACTCAAACATGTGTGAATAAAACAAAGCACCACTCCAAGTATATTTTTGAGGCGGCAACAGTATGATAACAAGGCTTAAAACTCTCAGGAGTCAATTTTTTGTAATATAAGAACTTTAAGTCAATGTAATGTTCCCGACAAGCATGAAAACCCAACATGTGTGTGTACTGCATGTGTAGGAGATGCTGTTATCTGCTCTGTTCTGGACGTGGCGTGACAGCAGCACTGAGGGAGTAGCTCTACGTGGGACTGCTGGCTCTCAGGTCTGTGTGGGATTGTAACACTTGGGAGCTTTTTGTTCCTGGAATTGCTGACCAGAAATGCTAGTGTCAGAGTGATAGTGGTGCAGGTTAGGGAGGGAGAATAGCAAGAATTTTTTAAATAAATAAGGTCAAAGATCAATGGGTTCTTTTTGTCAGAACCAAATCTGGATAAATGGAGAGATGCAAGTGCAAGTTGTAACAATCAGTAGCACTAAAATGACGTAATGTAATGTTTAAAGATCCTATAGGCTCTAATCACGCTTACGTCACAAACCAGAAGACGTTTAGAAATATGCGATTACAACTTCTGGTGTAGTTACCGATGCTGGGCTCACAGACTGACTGTGATAAAACCCACTGAAATAAATGTGATCATCTCTAAAATGAAGACTGCATACATATGTGCTGTTTGGAATCATCTTGAGTTTGGCGTCCTCCTCTCTTCTAACCGCATGTACCCAGTGCGTTCGGAGTGGGGAAATGATGAAAACTGAGGTACGGTTGTAATTGTCGATTAGCTGAACATAACGGAACGCTACAGTGACGTGTAGATGAAGAAAACTAGGCCATTGTCTCATTTTTCCTAGAACAGAGCCCACCAGAAGTTGCAATCGCATGTTTCCAGACGTCTCCGTGGTTTGTGACGTAAGCGTGATTAGAGCCTATAGGATCTTTAAACATTACATTGCATCTATATTACGCAAAACTGACTGACTGTGAGCCTTAAGCCATGTTAGAATGTTTCCTCATCAAAACATACCTGGAGTTGTGTTTTGTTTCATACACACATGCTTGAGTAATCATTTATTATTAGTCTATCTACATCTGCAAAGCTCAAAATGCTCTGTTCCACCTTGTGATGTCATGGAGCGGTAGTTTTTAAGTTGACAACGCCTTTTATCTTTAGTTCTGTAAAGACTGGCAATTCCAGGGCTGAAATTATCCAAATGATTCTAGTGAAGGTGTATGGAGTTTAAAAACACAGTGGAGCACTTCCTGTATTATCACATGACATCACAAGGTAGAACAGAGAGTTTTCTGTTTGAGAGAAGAACTAAGAAACCTAAATATGCAGGGTTTGTGTGTTAAACATGTGTGAATGAAACAAAACACAACTCCAGGTCTGTTTGTGATGTGGAAACAACATTATAACATAGATCAGAATATACAGTAGTGTAATACGGATCCTTTAACTGATACACTATTATTTCCAGCCATTAATCACATCAGTATTGGATTTCTACATACAAGTTGGTTAGACCCCAAATGTTATTACCTACCACACTATGGTAATTGAGTGACAGGGGGCAGTGTTTTCCAACTCTTTTAAACCTCATTGTACTGAAGCGTTAACTGAATATCAAATGGAAAGGTCATTAGTTTACACTTGAAACCACTGAGATCAATACAAACCAGTATTGACTTGTTCACAAAGCAGACCTGTGACATTTTATTGTGTCCTGACCTTACCTATTGATTTTTATCATTTAAAGGTCCCATATTTGCGCCATCTTCTGATCTATGTTATAATATTGTTTCCTCATAACAAAAAACACATCTGGAATCGTATTTTGTTTCATTCACACTTTTAACACACAAATCCTGCATATTTAGGGTATAGTTCTTCTTACAAATTAAAAACACCTTGGTCTACCTTGTGATGTCATGTGGTAATACAGGAAGTGCTCCACTGTGTTTTAGACTCCATACAACTTCATTAGAATAATTTTAATGATTTCCGCCCTGGAATTGCCAATCTCTAAGGTAAAAAGTAGATGTTCACTTAAAAACTACCGCTTCATGACACAAGGTGGAACAAAGCATTTTGAGCATTAGAGATGTAGACAAACCAAAAATAAAGGACTACTCAAACGTGAATGTGTGAATTAAACAAAATCCAACTGTTGTGTTTTTCAGGAGGTTAATTTTGCTTAACTATCTTACTGTACCAAAAAGTAGGCTATATTAAAATATCACAAAAATATTGTTAGGGCAACACGAAACACAGAAGTTGAATATTGCATCTTTTACTTAAATCATGCAGCCTTAATTAAAAATAATAAGGTAATATATAGTAAAACAACAGAGGCTTGCCAAAGAGTACTATATTGATGTTTTATATGTATCCTTAAAGGTGCATTGTGTAACTTTTCTGGCGGAGGGTCCATGGAGATGTTAATGCTTCATCTGGAATGTTTCACAGTATGGTATTAAACCTTTCTACCTTCAAGGAGACCAAACCAGACCAAGTGACAGGTCAACTCTGTGGAGAGGCATCCCCGCTCACTGTCAGAATGCCTGTTTTTCTATGGATTTTGGACCTATAAAACCACTTGTAATTGAATAAATGTAAGGTGATAAACTCCCAACCAAAAAGTTACACAGTGCACCTTTATTTACAGTACAAATACCTTGAGATGCTGCAGTTGCCGGCGGTCATCGTCTAGCTGTCTCCTCTTGTTTTCGATCTCTGTCTGCCTCTTCCGTTTCTCCTGATACAACACACACAATGAAAGCCTATTACTCCTCTGTCAAATAAATAATGAAATAAAACAATGGTGATATGAACAACAGGCAGCCATGACAGTAACCGATGATACAAGAAATGATATTGTGTAGAGAAAATATTCAGTTTGAATAATGGTATGTCAGGAGCTTTATTGACAAAAATGAATATGCTACTTCTGTCCTAATGACAATACGCAGTAATATGGCAATCCATCAGAAATTTGTGGCTGTTCTGGTTTAGGTTGAACAATGATAATAATAATAAATACTTTTAATTAAACAATATACTCGTCTAATTTTGCATATCTTTGAAACATCAATTGCAGTACTACCCTTCCATCTACTTGGTATACAGTCTTCCCTCACGAGGTTCACCTTTCGCGGCCTTGCTATTTCACAGATTTTTTTTGGTGAAATTTTGCATGCTTTTTTTTTTTTTTTTTTCAGCGTATCAACGCGCATTGTTCCTCCCCCTCTGCGTCCTGATTGGCTAAGGGACTGTAGACCATTGTCAATCAGTCTCTTCATGCATTCAGCTTGACAAATTTACATAAATGTTCGATCTCTAGCAGTATGACTCTGAAGTGCTGTATGTTTGCAAGTTTTCTCCCTTACAAAACCCACAATGTTGATGAAACGTTCTGCACTGACAAAGCCTCCTGCGGTCGCACCCAAAAGGCAGAGGAAGATGCAAACCATCGCACAAAAAGTTGGACTTGTAGACATACTGAAGGAAGGTAGAAGTTACGCAGCTGTAGGGCACCATTACGGAATAAATTAATCTTTGGTTCGTTATATAAAGAAGGAGGAAAATAACATAAGGACAACAGCAGCAATACATTTTAAGAAGGATGCAAAAAGGATGCAAAAAGTGTGTGGTGAGGGGTTTTACAGCTTTAAAACATATGATAATTGTAAAAAATAAAACTGACTACTTCGCGGATTTTGCCTATTGCGGTGGTCCCCCCACGATAAACAAGGGACCACTGTAATGCAATTTTGTTTTTGTATTCATTTTGAGATTGCAACAATGCCTTGGCATCAGTTTGAACTCTTATAGTAAAAAGCTTTAAGAATGAGCATTTTATTTAAGCCATCCTTAGAGTCTGTTCCTGATTTTAATTTCTTCTAGTTGAGATAAATGGCCTTTAAATTATGTAGTGTATGGTACATGCAGATGATTGAGAAAATAATGACATCGGAAGACATAATCTATGCAATTTATAAAGCATTTTGTTGGGTAATAGTTACTAATAGACATGTTATTGACAGTCACTCAATTGTTTGCTAAGATTCATGGGAAACAACTTCCAGACAGTTAGTTCTCTGTCGTGGTTTATTTTCAAGACTGAGAGTTAGATATTGATGGGAACCACTTGGAAACAATTCTGAGAGTATTCCAGACAGTTATTTCCGTGTCATGGTGCAATATCAAAGTGGTAGATAGGCCTAAGTGAACGGGGCTACTGTTCACACTCCAAAATGTTCCTCACTCATGGTTAAAGGTCCTATATTATGCTAAATTTAGTCTTGAGAACTTGTTAGAATGCTGTTAACTCATCAAAAACAAAACGCAACTCCAGGTATGTTTGATGAGGAAACTGCATTATAACATAGATTAGAAAATAGCTTTTAAAAATCAGGTCCTTGAACACGTACATATCTGAGCATTTCCTCGATGTATGCCTGCATATTAACTCGTTTCTTTGCACAGTCTGAGCCTCTGCGTTGAACATAATGAGAATGTAAAGAGGAAATACAGACAGAAGCAGTGGATGAGAGTGAGACAGAGGATAGAGACAGTGAGGCCAGCACTGAGCGGCTGTCTGACTGATGCTCTAATGGGCCAGAGGAGATGGAGCTAAAAGGTTGAGTCATTAAGATCGGCCAGTCGCATCCTGACGGGCCTCAAATCATCTGAGCTTCCCCTGAGATGCCCCCAGACTGAGAGAGAGACGGAGGAGAGAGTAAGAGAGGAAAGAGAGAGGAGAGGAAAAAGGTATAAAGGGGAAACCGGACTGTGAGAGAAGAGAGAAGTAAGGGAGAGACAAGGAGAGGAAGAGGAAGTTAGAGAGACAGAGGTAGATCAGGAAAAGAGAGAGGGAGGTTAAGAGAGAGAGAAGACGATCAGGAGAAGAGAGAGGGAGAGGTGGAAGTGTTAGTGGGGTCAGGAGAAGGGCTAAAAAAGAGAGAGGATGACAGAAAGAAGGCAGGAGAGAGGAGAGACAGGGAGAGAGAAGAATAGATGGAGTGAAAGGGAGAAAGAAATATAAATATTTGAAGAAAGAGAGCAAGAGAGTGAGAGCGTGAGAAAGACTTACAGCGATGGCCTGGAGTCGCTCCTCTTGGGACACCTCAGCCATCCTGAAAAAGAGCGAAAAATCTGTTAGAATGAGGAAGAATTATGGACACTTTTAAAGCTCCACAAACTTTCAGTGTATGTTATCAGACACCGCAATAACTCTTCTCCTCTCCCACTAAATCACCTCTTGTTAGTTTGCAGCAGGTTAGTATTTTTGGATTTCAAATGACATCACAACATCTAAAGGCCAATAACATTTAACACAGACAGGAACAGGTAAAATTACTATTGTTCAACACAGATGTTTGTTGTAATTGTCTTGGGTTTAGTTACTAAAGTAAATGATCAGGTTCAATGTTTGTGAATTTACATTTTGAATATTTCATGGCAAAGAGCATAATAAACAGCACATTCTAGAATCCACCAATCCACTAACACTGCATCAGACATGAATGACCACTTGAAGTCTCATATAAACTAACTGGAATTTCCCACGATTTCCGACAGTTGCAGAGCCAGACTTATAGTTGTTGGATCAGACCACCCAAGGCAGCGTTGACTCCCCTGCACTGTTCTTTCAGCACATTTCAGATAATCTGACTACTACAGATCCCTCACTGGAGTTGGAGTTTTGAAATAGCTTAAACAAACACTAGCTTTTTCTTACTTTTAATACATAGACAGACAGATTCCAATATGGATGTTAAAAGTGCACTATGCAACTTTTCAGTTTGAGATCCACTATCTTCTTGTGTCTATGGATATGGCATTGCTCTGCTTCAAATGTTCCACAATATGACATTACACAGCTCTACCTTATATGTATTCAGTTATATCACACAGTACAGGTGGTATAGTTCAAAAATACAGAGAAAATCAGGCATTCTGACTGTGAGGGGGGTTGTCTCCGACCTGTAGCTCACGAACTACTGGTAGATCCCCACCCCATTCCAAGTAGTTTGCCAAGGGGTTTCAGAATCTACATGTATTGTCCTAAAATTTGGTAAAATAAATGTCTATTACCATTGTACATGTATCATTTTGATGCCTAAGTTTGCTCACTAATAAATGGATAATGGTCTATGTTTTATAGGTATCTAACTGGACTTATAAAACATAGACCATTATCCATTTATTAGAGTCTTAAATGAAGTATCTAACTGTATTTCATTGAGGCTCACTGTGGGTCTTACATATGCTCAATTTTTTGTGACTGCTAAAACGAGTAGCTCCCTGGCATTTTTGTTTTGTAAAAGTAGCTCACCAGAGGAAGAAGTTGGACACCCCTGCTCCACATAGATCTGACCTGTAACGTGGCCTCCATGGAGAAAAGCAGGTGGAGGACCCTCCACCAGAACACACTGCACCTTTAATATTGTTGTATATCTTTGTAAATGATTCACCAGTGGTCAAAATGCCATGATTTCTTTTGGATATTTGTTGAAAAGACTTGATGACATTAAGCCCAGGAGCCAGCGCTTCCTGCTTTAATATTAAACGAGCCGTTTAGATAACTTCAGTAAGAAGGGGCAAATGTTAACTCTGAATTATTGCACGGTTTGACAAATGACTTTCCTTTTAACAGCAGTTACAGCTTCCTTGGGACTGGGGTGAAACATCTGTCTGTTAGCTGTAAATCTCTGTCCTTTTTCCTGTCAGAGGAGTTAGCGTAGGCATGCTAATGGGCTAGCTGGGCTCTGCTGGAGATTCCTGTCCTAATAGGTTCCAGACCAGGACTCCAGGATGGACGGTCAAGAGGAAGCAGCACTCAGAGCCAGAGGGGCATATGTGGTGCCTCCTGCCACTGAGATGGGACACGCTATCTCTGTATCACAATAAAACTAATAAAACAGTCTTTAATAGGGTCAGATGTGGTTAGCGCACTGATCCAGAGCATGTCAAGCACCAGCTACAAGTGAGGCTAGGCTCAATCAGGGTTGACAGATTTTCAGAAAGAAATAAGCAACTAAACTAAAAAGAACTGACCATAGGATCTATTAAAATAACTGGATACGGTATTGCTAGCTTGTAGATGCCTCAAGTTGACATAGTGGTCACTCACTGGTACTACAGCGGAAAAAGTCCCATGGGCCGAGACAAGATTTTTCTCATAGAGCGCAATGTAATCACAAACTGCTTTTGTTCGGCTGACAGGACACCTACAACTTTCAAAAATGTTGGATTTTGTGGCGATTTTTACCTGTTTTTCAGATCATATGCTTTTTCTCAGCTCAAAATCCTTCAGTTGTCTTAAAAAACGCTTTATAATCGTTAGCTTCGGCTCCACTCCGCTGTAGCTCCTCTCGCTCTGATTGGTCAAAGCGATCACGTGAACTAACCCACAAAAGCATAAGCAACTAGTTGAAAACAAATTGTGTAAATAAGCACAAATTAGTTTATTATATTCAGTCACTGCAAAAAAAAAAAAAAAAAAAAAGCCAAAATTTAAAATCACATAAAGTCACTATAAAGAAGCAGACTTGGCAAGCGCAATCAAAATATTGGAACATCGGAACAATTTAATCACACACATTTTTATATAGCGCTTTTCCACCTTCAAGGCACTCAAAGCAGTTTACATCATGGAACCACTCTCCCATTCACACACACACATTCACACACCAGTGTACACACACCGTTTACAATGTGGATTCTAAAAGCAAAGTCTCCTAAACTGAAATATGCTCATGAATGTTCTAAATAAATGGAAAATGTAACTACTTTTTTTATGAGAACATTTCTGTGCTTGGTAAGGAGTTGTTGGTTTAGCAGCATCATACTTTTTGTGACACGTTTTATCCCAAGTAATTAAAAAATGCTGTTGGATATGCAATTAGTGGTTCAAGTCTCAGCACATTTCAAATGATAAAGCAAAAACAAATTCATTTCTGTGTACTCCCATTGTAACAATAAGACCACACATTAGCAGAAATACCAAAGAAATAACCAAACAAGAATAACAAAAGAAAACACATTTATTTGAGCTTCAAGTATCATCACAAAGCTTTTACTGTAAATCTCCTCTTTCTCTGCGGTCTTGCTGTAGGAAATCATCACACTTATTATTGTACACATAAAGCTCACCATCTAAACAATACTACCTTTCACTGTACATAATGAACCACAGATTATCTTTTACACTTCTTTTATAACCTCTTATTCCCTGAAGGAGTTTGCGAGATACCTCAAGGCTATAGTGTAAAGCATGATTCATTGTTTTCACAGTAAATCTATACAGTCTGATATCTCATCCCTCTCTCAGTGGCTCGCCCACGCCCTCAGCGTCACATGGGGATCCTGTGGAGAGAGAGTACAGCCACAATCATCTGATCGAGCCGCAAGGACATCAACAGGGAGATTGTGCTGCTGGATACATTCTTTCTAACTTGAAAATATCAGGAGTTGTGCTAAAGTTCACAATGTTAACAATGCATGACAAGGATGATGTCAGTAAAAGGCTGGTTGGGTGCGTTCACATGGGAATACGCATTAAACTGGCACTAGACCCAGAACTGAACCTGGAACTAAACTTGGGGTAAGTTCAAGTTTAGCAGGACTACAACTGGACCAAACCCAAGCACATAATATTGGCTATGGAGGTTTTGCTGTGCTTGACTCTTGGTTACCTTTCTTTCTTTCTTTTTTAAATTTTTATTTCTGTATTTATTTATTTATTCATTGTTGCACACACTATGTCAGTTTTTTGTGCAAGCTCCAGGACACTCATCCCCATCTCAAACATTCTTTTCTGAATGCCTCTCCTCACTCTTCACACTTTCTATCCTGTCAAAAAAAAAGTAAATATTAAACAAATTTATAAATGAAAAGTGAATGAATAAATAAATAGTGAATAAATAACATTAAATAAAAAGTAAATAAATAACTGAAAAGTAAATAAATAAAATAAATAAGTATCCCCCCAATTTGGTGTAGTTCTTTGAAAACCAAGCTTGTGTAATTCCTCTGCACATCTGCACACTCAGCAGTCCTGTGGTGACTCGGGGGGAGGGAGTAGGCCCTGTGTCTGAGAGTTGTCCCGACTCAGTGGGGTCACAGAGGAAAAACAGAAAGTATGTGAAAAATGGACAAACGCCCCCACAACCAAACAATAACAGGCCACAATCATATTTATTGTTATTTTCACAGATTGAGAGTTGAGCAACTGGTGACATGTCTATTGTTTGTGTTCAGAAAGCAGCTGTCCCTAATGTTTTACAGAAATAAACTATGACGTCATGTTTGTTTATCTGATGGTGTTGAAATACTTAAGGGACAAACACGCGCAAAGAGGCTGAAAGGCGTACAACATGAGTGAGGGCCTATTCAGCTTTAAATTCCCAGATCCCAGCAGGTAGAACGATCAGCAGTGTGATTAAGGGAGAATTTTGGCATAGACACTGGTGTTGGTGAAGAGGAGAGGCTGACGTGGCTGAAGATTCTGCTGCTGTGATGAAAAGGGGCAAGGAGCATTTTCAGTTGATCTATATCATGTCAGTATGTCATGTAATTTCTAGGGATGCACCGATCTAGTACTGGTATCGGATATCTACACTGATACTGACACATTTGCTGGATTGAATATTGACTTCTAAATATCGGTTAGCAGTAAAGGTGTAACAGTGCATGCATTTGTGCCGAACCATTTTGGTACAGGACGTTCGGTTCTGTGCAGGGCAGTGCACGAGTTCTTGCTCGGCTCTTTAATATTCACGAGGGAACTCGTCCGTGTTTGGGGTGACACTGTTTCCTGCACATCTGCACTTACTTCAGACAAAATGGACAAGCTGATTTTTTTGTCCAGAAGTATGAAGATTAAGAAAACTTCATGCTGGAACTGTTAGTGCTGCGCTTTACTTTTTGAAAAGTTTTGTTTTCTGTTTACAAGGAATGTCCATCCATCCATCCATATATTTAATTTAATTTATTACTATTACCAAGCAGCACTTTGCATTTATTTTATTTTCCCATTTGTATATTGTTAAACAAACTGTTGGTTTAATAAAAACACAAATAAACAACAAGCAAGTGGTTTTGCATTTTGTTTCCATACAATACCGAAAAT